TGCGCGCGTGTGTGTGTGTGTGTGTGTGTGTGTGTGTGTGTGGCTTTTTATGGAGGTCATGGGAGAGGGAATCTACCAGTACGCAAAAAGGAGTGACTACTCCTTGAGCCGCTGTATGCTTGAACACGGCTGCTTGAAATCTGCATCGCTTTTTTTTTGCGATTCTGCATGTTCTCTCTCAGTTTCTTGTGCATTGTTTTGTGCATTCAAAACAAAATCTAAATTGCTCTGGTTATAATTTTCGACTTTTTATGTGTTTCGAAATGATAAAAACATGTTACCTAGGATGGTTTGTATTTTCTATAGTTTCGACTGATGACGATTTGGCTTTGTGAATATTCCTTAGAATATAAAAGAACCGAAGTTGCTAGATCAGTCACTGTCGGCGGAAAGCCGGCCCAGAATAAATAATAATACATACATGTACTCTTTCGTGAATCAGTAGAAGCTTAAAACGGGCTTCTAGATATTTTCGCTAATTGGGGCATATTATCATCTGGAAGATATCTCATGGAATAACGTTAGATTGCTGGGGGCTTTCTAACAATCTTTTCTAGCTCCCTATTCTTCCCATCTTTCCTAACTCCTCGTGTAACGCGGTAGGCGGAAGTGCGGTCATGCTTACTTCATGCTCGTATTTCCAATTTAATGTCACTTATGTTCCACTCCTGTGAAATAGAGTTTTATAAATAAAAATAAAACATCCGGATTGCTATTGCGGTGCTTCGCTGACGACGGCGTTGAAATGCAATAGCGTTGTTTCTCTTTCAAGAAGGCTTGCTCCTGTATCTCTAGCCAAAGGTCGCTCTCTCTTTATCCTCAGTCGTCTCTTTGGCGCGTCGAGCACGCTCATACGCATCACGATGACGCTTCTATTCAGCTATAGCTTCCTTCAGTCCGCTCCTTCCTCTCGCGAGGCATTGTGAAGAATGCGGCTCATTCAGATGAGTGCCTCGTCCCGCAAGCCTCAACCCGCGCACGCGCGTGTTATAGAAAGAAGGACTGTACGTGCACTTCTTTCTCCCAGCTCATGCGCGTGCATGTTGATGCGATCACCGGACTTTTTCAGGGAGGGTTACTTAAATAAATGCCGCCACATTTAAGACAGAGGTGCCGCTGAAAACAATACCGACCAAGATACACGCTCGGTCGAGGGCTAAAGCGCGACCTTATATTGTTTCTAATTATCAAACAAGGCTCGCCTGTTCCCTGACGACAAGACCTAGCCAAGCAACAGCGGGCGTTCGCAAAGAGGAGGCCCGATGGATTGCTCGGTTGTTGCGCCCCTGGCTGCGGCCGCCACCGACTTGGGGAAGCCGATCAAGGAACACGGGTTGGTCGAGCTGTTTGCTCTACGCCCGCGCGCCCCGGGGCACTAAAAGAGTTCTTGTGCCATCATGAGGGCCAACGCGGGCGCTGTTTGCCGCCGGATCAGCCCCGCCGGCGCCGCTAGGAGAAGGCACCGCGAGCACCGATGTGGGCTTTCGAACAAAGGGAGCTCCGCCGTTGAACCAGCTCGTGATCACCCAACCCTGGAGATCAATGTGCGGCATGTTTTGGCTTGCTCTTTACCAAACTATGGAGCCCCCGTACAAATAGTTCGCTCTAAAACGGCCGATAAAAAATTTAAAAAAAAACAGCAAGAACGTTGCATGCGTCAAACGGCCACTTCTTTTCAAAGAACTGGGTCGAAAAAACAAAACAAAATGCGCCTCTTGCAGTGTGTCCGGAAAATAAATCCATGTTTTTGAAGGGATGGACAATAATTATCCGTGTTCATTGACCTAGAATGCCGAATGTGAAAGGAATTGTTATAGCGAGAATGCTTGAATGTGTAGGCCGCTATTTGTTTTCGTGAAATCGACAGGTTGGTCCCCGACCCAGCCTTGAAAAGACCCATGAATGGCAGAACGGGCGTCGCTCGCCTGGTATGCTTAATGGAAGTGCCACACAGACCCGGAAGCCCATCCCCTGCTCCGCGGCAATCGTGTTCCGTTGCAAGAAATATCTCTTCGGAGGCGTTCGATCTGAGTCTGGCAGGCTCACTTGGGGAACGCTTCGTCGGTAATGCAAATCCGATTCGGATCAATGATCATGCAGGCGCGCTCGCACAAAATGGCTGCGCGCCACTTTCCGAAGGACGGGCCAACTGCGCAGCGGATAGTTTTTAGGACTATCGGCTACCAAAGCCGCCAGTCTGTTGTTTTTCGCTTAGTTTTTTTTTTTTTTTTTTTTTTTACTTTCAACCAGATTTAAGTTGTACCCAGGCTGAAGTAAGTCAACTTTCTAGTGCACCAAAGAGCTCGCGTAAGTTTACGTCTTCGAAAAGAACGACACTGGGCGCAGAAGTGTAGCTGTTACTGTTTTGCATTATATGTGTTTTTTAAGATGTCGGAAATGCATGTTTTGGGGTATCAAATTTACAAAATCTTGAGAAATTTTATTTTTCTTGCGCCCTGTGGTGACTGGACTAAGCAGAACAAGCGACGTAAACCTGTGCATTTTGGCGTGAAGTCTAACGTTCGCCTAATACGCGACGCAGACGGTCTGTCATTTCGTGTTGGACCAGCGCAAAGACCACTCAACTGCTGAAGCTGTACTAGCATTAACCCCCTGTGCACTAAGAAATCCTTCGATATCCCATGAGTACATGATTGCGTTCATTAAAATTAACATCAGGTCTTTCATCTTATGGACGAGTCGACAATTTTTAGTTGAAAGAAAATTTCAATATAAACACAGTTGCTCAAAAATAACCTGCCACCATAATTCTAGACACGTTTTGCGTAGTAAACCTTTTACGAGGGGTGTTCAATCAGTTTTGCATCCTGGACTCTAACTGCTTTTATTCAGCAATGGAATTAAAAGATGTTACATTCAAATGAAAGTTTGGAATCTCTTCTTTCTCGGGACAGCATTAATTTTCAATAGAGATATTACCAGCGGCGATGCACTTCCGCCACCCGTGCACTATAGGGAGTATTCACTGGCGGCCATAGCTGTGTGCGCGAATGCTGAGCGCGTGCTGATGGCGAGCTTCCACAGTTCTTTTGCAACGTGCATTTTGCACCATCAAGAGTGCCGGTCTTAGCAGCCTATTGATGTGAGCTCATTCTGAGCATGCGCTCTAAACAGCACCCATAAATATGGCGTCCAGTGAATACTCCCTATAGTCTCCGCTTACATTCGTAGAAGCAGACATGTACGTAACGCGTTACAAGTAACGAGTTACTTCTATCTAGTTACTTTTTCTGGTAACGAGTAACGTATTTAGTTACCTTTTTATAAAAGGAACGAGTAACATACTTAGTTGCTTCTAAGGCCAAGTAACGAGAAACGGTGTTTCGTTACTTTGGAGCAGTAACCTGTACAGCACCGTTTAAACAGCATTGTTTTCATTCGAACCTGATTATGCGTCTATTTCGACAAAAGCAGATGGGCAACCCGAAAAACAACTAAACAGTATGAGAGTATAGCAGCGTTTATCGCTGAACACGTCGGTCGAACTCTACAGCTGGGAACGTCTTTCACCCAGAGAACACAATAAGGTTCGTTGGTTGAACCTTCTAGAATCGTGTACAAACCGAATGCAAACCCCCGGAGGTTGCCAACACGGGAAGGCACAGAACCCATTGTCAACTGAAACTTTAGGAGTAGAGAGAACAAAAGACAGAGGGTAATCCCACATTCCCCAACTTTTCCTGAAGCTCAACACTGCCGTTACTTTTAGTATGTAAGTAAAACGACTCTTCGGCGTCGCCGGAGATGTATTCTCAAGAAAGTGAGGAAACATAACTAGTGAAAGCTTGCAGAGGCAGCTACTGCTTACGTGCAACGACTACTGAAAAGAAAACAATAAAGCATGATACAAAAGCAGTTGTGTATTTGGTCGGCAAAGTAACGAGAAAAGTAACTCGTTACTGTTGCGGAAAAGTAACGCGTTCCTTTTGAGAATCGGTAGCGAGTAACGTACGTAGTTCCCTTTTGAGCGAGTAACGAGTAACGGTATTTAGTCACTTTTTTGTGGGTAACGTGTACATGTCTACGTAGAAGAATGAGGCCGCCGTTGACGAGACCAACGTCGCGCTGGAGGAGCTGCAGTTCCAAGATAGTTTGTCTCACCCACCTTACAGCCCGGACTTCGCGCCATCAGACCTCTGGCTGTTCTCCAAGACGAAGGAATATCTGAAGAGTGCGCGGTTCGCGTCCGACAAAGAGGTCACCAATGCAGAGCGCCGCTTGGCGTGGTCAACAGTCGCCCTCAATCTTCTACGACGGCATGCAGAGATTAATGCACGCCTGGCGGGAGTGCACCGACGCTGGTGGAGACTACGTTAAGAAGTAATGCGTTCCTATAAAAGGAGATTCCAGACTTTCGTGTGAAATTCTATCACTGAATAAAAAAAAAGGTTAACATTTCAGGAGGCAAAAAAAAAAAATATATCGCACTTTCGAAAGTTGATTTTAATCCACAAATTGATGAAGCTCAGAAATTAAGTCCTATGGGCTCACTGGTAACGTCGGCGGCTAGTTTCCTTGTATGCTATATAGAGTCGACACGTATTAATAAACTTACCCGCAGTTGCGAATAGGTGGCCATTATGTGTGTTTTGCTTATGTCATCGCTGACACTAGAAACCCCCAAATTGCAAAATTGCAACAGTGCAATCACGATATTTGCCTTGCGCAAACGAGATATATACACTCGTGCAGCAATCCAGCGTGACCTTGTTGAGTAAACAAAATACCTGCTGGATAAATATTTTTGCTTCTCTCTAGGGCCCCTATTTAGCGAGCCGCTCTTCACGTCAGCTCTAGCTGCCTCCGCTTTATTACTTTTGATAGTTGAGAATCGGCGTCATTTGAATTCGTAAAAACCTAATAAAAAAATTCAACTATGTTTTTATTTTTTTATTTTTAGGCAACGCGAAGTGATGGGCGACGCAAGATACTTTGAGCCGTATCAGCGCGAAATTGATTCCTCTGTTCTTCTCTCGCAGATTTCCCATGCAGCCCGTACGAGGGCGGCCCAGGCCTGGTGGCCATCACCATTCTGCCGCCAACTCCCACCGCTGCCTGCGGTGTTTCCCAGAGCCCCTGGTCCACCGAGGCAAAAGAGTATCACGAACTGTCGCCCGCCTTTCAGTATGAGCCTATGATCGAAGTAGCCAGTAATGTAGACGTGGTAACGGAGCCCAACCCCACGCGCCGTCGCGGCACCAAGGCACCCTTGACGGACGGTCGCAGCCGCCGAAAAACCCGTAAAAGCTCTCCTCGCGGCACGAAGCAGAGCTCGGAGTATCCCCGATTCACGTGCGGCGAGTGCGGCAAGAACTACGCCACCTCGTCGAACCTGTCCCGGCACAAGCAGACGCACCGCAGCCCGGACTCGCAGCTGGCCAAGAAGTGTCCGACCTGCGACAAGGTGTACGTGTCCATGCCGGCGCTGGCCATGCACGTGCTCACGCACAACCTGAGCCACAAGTGCCCCGTGTGCGGCAAGGCCTTCTCGCGGCCCTGGCTGCTCCAGGGCCACATGCGCTCGCACACCGGCGAGAAGCCGTTCGGCTGCGCCCACTGCGGCAAGGCGTTCGCCGACCGCTCCAACCTGCGCGCCCACATGCAGACACACTCGGGGCTCAAGCACTTCAGCTGCGCCAGGTGCCACAAGTCCTTCGCCCTCAAGTCGTACCTCAACAAGCACCTAGAGTCGGCCTGTTTTAAAGAAGATGAAGGCGTACTTTCGGTAGTTCAGGACACTATGGATTCTTTGCCCCCTCAATAAGGTTTGGCCGGCGGGCCCCGGCCCACCCTTGCGTTGCACCAAGCCTCTCGCCAGCTCGGGCAATGTTTTCTGGGGTTGCCTCAGGGCTAATGCTAGGTAGCCACAAAATTCTTCAAAATTTGAATTGACAAACGGCTTCGCTTCTATCGCTGTGGTTTTCTTGTTATGGTTGGTTTACTTTTGCTACGTTTTATTTTTGCTTGCGCCTTTGTTTCTTCCACGGGCGATTCTTTTGTTTGTTTTTTCGTGACCGAACCTTCTCCGGCTACCTTAAAACCCTTTTCCAACTCACTTTTTTTTTCTCCTAACGTTGATTTGAGACGCTTGAGGATACCCCGCTAATTCGTTCCGCATCCAAGAGACGGTCGCTGCACTGCCCTCGCATGTGCGTCTGAAGGGAGAAATCAAAGTACCACACCCTGCCCTGTCTAGTTTCTGTGCGAGACAGCGTCAAGGCGTTACAGCTTAGGCACGAGCCTGACGGGACTCGCAACAGCTTAGCTCCCCAGATCCGCGTTAAGCCCAAGCTGGTGGCAGGCTTTCGGGTGCTAATTCCTGTGTGGACTGCCATGACACTCTGCTTTCGAGGAGCCGAACGCGAGAGCACTCGAGTCGGAACGAAACACCGGAATATACTCAAAGTGATTATAGCGCGACCACACAAAATAAGAGTGCAAGAGAAACTGCTGTGTACTTGTACACTGTTCCGCGCTAGCGCGCTTGTGTCATTCCTTCTTTTTGTTTTTTCAACAAACACAACTTTTCACAACTGCTGCTTGCGAGTAAATGGCGACATTGTTCACACGCAATCATCGCCATAATACCAGATTTTACTTCGCGAGTGGAGCTCTTCAACGAAGTCATTACCTCGGAGCTGTCGTCGTTAATGCTGGCTCAAAACGACCAGACCTCTGGAGCTGGCAACGAAAAGCGTCACCTGATTTACACTGACGTTAAACGAAGCAATAACTTCGCCCACTAACGCAGCTATGCAAGCTTTTTTTTTTTTTTTTTTTGCTAACGGCAAAATTTTAGTTTAAAAAAAATCTAAAAACAATGACTCAAATTCGCAGCTTCCTGCAGTGACATCGAGTCTTTATTAGCGCAACATGATCAGTCTTGGCAATCACTGTGCGGCGGCGAATATTTTTCCCGCGCGTCCGACACGAGAGCAATAAATATACAAACCGCGTTAGCAAAGAAATGTCCATTCCACTGGAGTCTAGTCATTGCATCTGTTGAGTTTGATGAGGCCATAAATGTGGGGAACCAGTCATATAAAAACCTTAGGCAGAATGAGATCGTAATCGCCAAAGCCAGCGATAGGTTTAGACAATGGTGCACTTAGGAACGATATTTATTCAACTCACTGTATTTACTTTAGCTCATAGGCATTTGTTCATATGCATACACGCTTATTTCAGTCTGCACGTTCACTGTATATACTCATTTATTTGCAATGATAAGCTATACTAGTGCTAGTCACATATATCGTAAGTACGAAGACTACTATTAGGCAAGTAGATTAAGATGAGGTCTCAAAGTACTACTTAAACGTTCGAAGAGAAATGCTAACCATATTTAGACGCTTGTGCCATTTTTAAAGGAGTTGGTTTCGACTACAGGAGAAGATTCCCTGGCGTTGTGATATAACTGCACACCCGAAGCGATAATTTTTGCGCCCGAAAGACACCTTCCTCGCGAGCAATAAGGTTAAAATTCCTTCTAAAGCATCAGCAATTGCCAAAGTATACAGGCTAAAATACATGCTATGGTCCAGCGTGTCAGTGATGAGCCCGTTAGGGTGACTCAGCTAAACCATAAAAAAGGCTAAGTATTACGGCCGCGCTTCAAGTAAAAGTAAAATAACCTCTTTTACAACTTGGTTGACCATGCATGTTGCGTTATAAAAATAGTTTCAGCGGCCCTTAAATGACCAGACGGCCGAAGCACATTTTTGTCGCCCAATGATCAATTTTCAAAAATTCACGGTTCAAAAGTAAATTGACTGCACCTTAAGACACCCAAAGTGAGCGCGCCGTCTTGAATAACGCACGCTCGCTTTAAACCTAAATTTCAGACACATGTTCTCGAACCGCTAGTAGGAAAACTTGTCCCTTCTATACATACGCTAAAAAAATCAGCTCTTCGGCTTATTGCCACTAAGAAACTTGACAAAAGTTCAAGGGATCTTAAATTTGCGTATTTTATATAGACCGTCGAATAGTTCTTGTTTATGTATGTCTCCGAGAAATGCCCGCCTGGACTAGAACCTTTTACTAGCAATTTTTACTGTTGGCTTGACTTTTTTTTTAGACAACTTGTCGGGTCTTCCCCCTTAGGCGTTTTCGCATATTTTTATTTTTTTTCACTTGGAACTATTTTGTCAGCATATCCGATGTCCTTCCACGAAAGTTTCGCAGTTGCCCCTTTTTTTGTATCTGAGAAGGTGAAACGTTTACCTGAGTGTGGTTTTAGAAAAAAAAGTGTTCAATGTGTGAGAATAGACTAGTCAAGCAGTGAACCATACAAATTAAGCGGAGCAAACAACAAGGAAGCCCCACCTTCCGTCTCTTCCAGATATTGACTATACCGAAAGTACTTGCAAACATTTAAGTTGCCAAGCTATTACAGATAACCAGTCTACCAGAGAACGTGAGCAATACTACACATTCACGCCTGCCTGGGAAGGTGTTATACGCGCCCCCGCATTCTTTGTATGCGCTTCGGCGTTAAAGCAATAACTCGTTTCTTTATAAAATCAACTTCCATCGTAAAGGTCGACAATCCACGTATGTCAGAGCAACGCGGAAGAAAGGCGTAGAAAACAAAGGGCGTGCACAAAAAGCCCGAAATAAACGAAGGTTTTCCGCTCTTCCTCCACATCCACCGCATCAAAAATGCGCTGTTTGATCTGCACAATCACGCTAAAAGCTTGTTCCGAAGCAGGATTCGAGTGAGTTCGTACATAATTGAGCAAGGACAAATCAACGAGTAAGACTCCCGGCTGTTTCGCTGAGCGTCGTCTCATACCTTGGCACGTGCATGCCACTGCGTTTAACAGCGCCTACACCCCAGTCGCAGACGAGAGCCTCATCGTTGGAAGTGCCAAAACACGCTAAAAAGATTGAAGAAGTCTCCCGACCGTTGCGTGTGTTGCCCCTCAAAATGCAACAATTTTTCTTTCCGTCCTCAAATAGCAAGGTCCTCCTTTGCTTTGTATTCTAAAACGGCGCGTCGCACGTGAAAACGCGCGAAGGATAGGCAAAATGCATCACCGTCCAACAGACGGCTGCATTATTCCGCTCTTTACGTTCAATCGGAGTGCAAATCATCTTTCAAACGTTCGTGTGCATGCGGACGTGCTCCATTATACTCTATATATACTAAACCTCTTTATAGGCTACAAACATGTAATTTTATGTATACTGTTTTCACACAATACAATCTCATAACACGCTGTCGCAACAGCTCTCCCCCCCCCCCCCCCCTTTTTTTTCTTTTCTTCTCAGTGCTTGTTATTAAAAAAAGAAAAGAACAGGGCTTATGCTCATTACCATTACGGCTAAACCTAAATACGAATGGACAATGTTCACGATAACGGCTACCAAAAAGAAATGAAATCGCGTAATGTGCCAAGCCCGCGTTTTCTTTTTTTTTTTTTAGATTGCAGTTTTTTGTTTTTTTCTACATAACAGGGAAGAAGGAGCAGTATATGTTGCCATTCTACTGCCCTTCGAGTAGTGGAGGCTGAAGCAAGCATGCCGTTCAATGTCTTCACCCACCGCTTATGGCACTAACTTCTCTCTTAGCTAAATTGTCTATATATTTGTTTATTTATATATTTATTTTGAAGTAGGCGGTTTTAAGCACAAAAAGAATATTCCTGCAGTTAAGGACGCAAAATAGACCAAACGCGACATGGCAACGTGTGGTCGTGGGGTTTTCTATTTTCCATTTTGTTGGTTGTCTCGTTTTTCACCAGGTTGGTGCCCTCTCTGTTTTGTTGCCATCTATTTTGGGTTAGCAACTCCGAGATGAATTTCTCTCCTCCAGCGTACCCAGTTGCGTCTTTTCCGGCAAATATACTGCAGCACTCACGCCGAGTTTCTCGCACGTGTAACTCTTTTGGTGCTCAGGCCAACAAGGAGAGAAACGAAAACAAGGTCTTTCACTTTCTCCTCCCGCGTACCTCTACTCCCCACGACGGGGAGTTGCTTATAATCGTCACCGAGTTATACCCGCTGTTACGATTTACAAACGTTTCATGAGATAAAGGCTCGAACGCGCTCTCCGGCTGTTTAAACTATAGCTGAAGGACTACTTATATTCATGAGACGTCAAGTTCGCCTAAATATTACATCAATCCTAATAGACAACGAATCCAAAGCACAGGAACATTAGAAGGGTTACTCCACCCTTCAAAAAACCACTGCGAAATACTCTCGCATAAATAGCATCTCAGCGTACATAAACAGCCACAAATTTCTAAGTACGTTCCAGTGATTTGGACGTCTTAGTACTTCAGACAAAAATGTTGCCCCTAATTGTATTCTTGCTATGTTTTAGCCCATGAAACGTTACTTTCATAATGTTAGCGAAGTGCATCAGGTGTCAGTTTTAACGGCAAATTTAATTTAATTTCACTGCTTTCCATCCGGTTGTAGACTGACATTTTTTTATGTGTGTGTGTGTGTGTCAAGTTATGGGAAATAAGCAGTAACCAGGTAATGCCTGCTTTAATCCAACATACTCGAGACCGCTCTCCACATAGTAAATGTGAGTATGGAGAGCAACTAACCAGTTATCCTTATTATTTAAGGTTTTACCCAGATATTAGTCTCGAAGCCAATTTTGCCTTAAAGGGAAGCTGAAGAGGTTCTTGAAAAAGAAAAAAAACTAGTTAGACGTAGATTCTACAGTATTTTTATTCCGTGAATTTGAACATCACGTTCGTTTTCCTCGAAGATGTGACTAAACGCAAAACCCGAAACACCTCC